ACTATCATTTTTTATTTTTATTATTTGATATTTAAAAAAATAATCATTTTTGTGTAGGATGAATTACTGGCTGTAAAACTCAACATATAACTCATGATAAATGGACCCATGCATCATCAAAGAAAACATATCAAACACTATTACCATAACTGCTTTTATCAGACGCTTTAAACATTTTAATTTAATATAATTAGAATTATTAGAACTTGAACCATGTGTCATGTGTTCATATATAATTTACTCACCTAACACATCAGACTAAGCAGCGCCGCCCGCTGGCCGAGCAGGAACCAACAGCGAGTGCACACGTTGTCAGCCTGTCCCGCCCTGAGTTGAAACTTTGGCGGTGCAAGCATCAAGGCGCTTGTTTTATACACAACAACAACTGGAAGGGCGGGGCTCCTTAAGTTTAGATCCATGCAGATGCCCCTGTCAACCGTCGGTAGACAATGTACAGTAAAACGAACGCGCGACTGTGACGACAGGCTTTTTCTTTAAAAACATTGTCGAACACAAGGAAGTGAAAGAAATCAGAGAGCTCGAGAGAGAAACAACTTAACACAGAGATTGATAATTCATATTATTTAGTAAATAACGCTACATTAGCTCGTGAGTAATATGAGAAACGGTACATAACGGTTATTAATGTCGCCACAGAGAGCATTAGATATGTGAATTTTAGCTAACATTCACGTGATGTGACGAGCTAACAGCTAACATTACTGTAACAGTTATAACTTACCACTCAGCAAACATGTCAGTTACATGTGCCTGGTCGTTTATTAATGGCAGTCGTTTAGCTATGTTTGACTTTAATGACTATATGTGATAGTGTAATGGGTGACATTACAGACACACCATGCAGAGAGACACCCTCGGACCAGTGTCGGACCTTTAGGACGTTTTTAGCCAATTAGATGTCTGTAGTTATTAACAGTGTCTTCAATGGAGAGAAGCAGCGAGGAAGAGGCAGCTCCTGATGAAGAGGATGGAGAGCAGGCAGCCGGCTGGACTGTGATGCCAGGCAGGTCGGAGGATGAAGAAGTGGGAGTGGCACCTTCAATAACATCCACAGGTGGAGTACCAGACCCTTCCACGGACATGTTGGCTCTGAGGCTGTGCAGAGAGCTTGTGTACCAGGATCAGGAGAAGTCAGAGAGGGAGGCTGGACCGACGATGTCAAGCGGTGTGATGTCTGAGAGCCAAGCAGAAGTTCTTGAGCCAGAGAGGGATGCTCCCTCTGTGTCTCCCTCCAGCCTCATGGACACCTGTGCTCCCTCCATATCAAGCCTCTCCTCCTCTTACTTCCCCACCCATCACCATGCCAATTTTTCCTCATCCTCATCTTCTTCTTCCTCTGCTGTGTCTCTGACTCCACCTTTGCCTCCCTCTGTGGAGCTCCCAGCTGTGTTGACTGATACAAGGCTGACCCTGGATGTGTACCAGGGAGGAGCAGCTGCACTGCCTCTGCTTTGGGGGTCCGTCCCGGAGCAGCTGAGGGGGCTCCAGTACCTGAGACTGGGCTCTGAGGATAAGGCAGCCCTGGATGGTGCACTGGATGTCCTACACCATCTGACAGAGCTGCGTTCACTGGCTGTTCGGGGTACTTTTCTGATTAATTTCATGTGGTATCAACTGCTGCTTAGAATAGATGGTTAAATGGGTTAATTCAGCGGTTCCCAACTGGTGGGTCGCGATCCAAAAGTGGGTCGCAGGTCCATTCTGAATGGACCGCAAGTGACAGAGCAGTGAATTTCCAGCATAGAGTTTTGCTTTTTAAGTGATACGCTGAATATATTAAACTGTGTAGACCTTGAATTAATGACTCAGGAGAAATCTGGACCCCATGTCTGGACCAGTTGGGAACCACTGGCTTAATTCACCTTATTTCATTGGTTCTAACATACTAAAGTAGATACAGTAAATGCTATTTTAATGCAATGTAATATGGGTGTAATCCTCTGTCTGATTACCCCCTTTTCTTTCTATTTCAAGGACACTGTTTTTATTACTCGCAAGGTGACCCGCTGCCTGGCCTCCTCACCACTTTGCCCACATCTGTTTCCTCCCTCTCTCATCTGGTTCACCTGGATCTCTCCTTCAACCAGCTCTCCTGTCTGCCATCCTGCCTTCTCAGCTTGCCCGCTCTGTCCTCTTTGCTCCTCTGTCACAACCACCTCTCAGCTTTGCCTCCCGATATAGGCCAGCTGTCCTCCCTCACCTACCTCTCCCTCCTGGGGAACGAGCTGGTCTCTCTTCCCCCGAGCCTGGGTCAAATGAAAATGCTGCAGACACTGGATATTTCACACAACCTCCTTCAGCAGCTACCTGATGAAATTGGTTGTCTGGGGGAGCTTGTGAAGCTGGAATTGTCTCACAACAAGCTGAAACAGCTACCAGAAAGCATGGGTAAGGGTGTAAGGCTGAGTGGGAGTGTCAGTGAAAGACTGTTTCAAAAAACAAACAAGAATTCTCAAGCATGAAGGCAGCAGTAAAAAAAGAAAGGTGCAAATGATTTTTCCTGTGTTGCCCAGGCTCCCTTGTCGCCCTCAGGGAGCTTGTCATCTACAGCAACGACCTCCGCGTGATCCCACATTGTCTGAACAAACTGCCTCTGCTGAAAATAGATGTGCGTGACAATCCTTTGGGACGTCCTCCAACCCCTCCTCTTCTCCCTCCTACACCTGGTGAGCACAGGACAATAAGCTTCAAGTTGATTAGTTTTTAAATAATTTCGCCTGTACTAAAACAGCGTTACATTCACTGTCAACACATTCACTCTGTTGCATCACTGTTTTCTAACTAGATCGAGTAGAAACAAAAATTCAAGAGTTGCACCTTGGATATAATCAGCACAGGTACAGTGTCACTCTCAGTGTGGAAACATTTTCTCAATCTGTAGTAATACTGTCAGTTAAGGTGTCTCTGACCAGATTAAGATTAAAGATGTCATGCTCCTTTTTTGCTCCTTAGTTTCTGTGTTTCGTCTGCTGGGTGTCATGTGTTTCTCCCAGGGGGGGCTGAGCTGCTGTTCCCCCCGGGGTGCCTGGTGACAACCACAAGACTGGAGTGGGTTGAGATAAGGCCGGAGAGGAAGTGGGTGCGGCTGGAGGAGCATGACGTGTTGCTGAGTCGTCCACTGGAACTTCGTCCTCATGGAATTACATTTCTAAAGGTATTATACCACATCTGTTATAGGGACACTGCATGGATTTTACGCATTTATATTGGTTTCCTCATCATTTTTGGGACTACTCTGTAAAAGAGCTGTTGTATAATGTTGTCAGTGGCTTTGGAGGAGCCTTGTCTGAAAAAATAACCCTGATTAAGTCATAGTGATGTCATCAGGGCGACCTCAGTTTGGACTTAGAGAAGAATCTATAACAGGAAGTCTGCATTACACACTAAAGGTGTGGAGTTTAAGAGACATGGGCATTCACCAGGCATTGAGGAGCTAACGGAAAGTGTGGCATTATGGGAATTGTAGGATTCAATATTTGTGCTGGACCAGTTCTTAAAATTAGTATTGTGAAGACTTTTTTGAAAATAGTCGTTAGTGTTCACGGGTTATTCTCGTTCCATCTAGTCACAGTGTGCTCTTTCCTGCACTTATCTTACGTAAATGTGCTTCAACTTTGAACTCTGTATAGCCTGTGGAGGTGTGTGTGTCATATCATCGCACCAGAAGAAGGGAGGTGGTGGTGCAGAGGTTTGACGGACAGTCATGGAGCACTCTGCCCACTGTTCTGAGGAGGGGAAGCAAGAGCCACAGCAGCCACCCTGGTGGACGTCCAGCAAGGGTAATGTGTAAAAACCTCTTTTATTACAGTTGTGTTTAAAGGGCCAGTTCACCCCAATATTAAAAATACATGTTTTTGCTCTTACCTGTAGTGCTGTTTATCAATCGAGATTGTTTTGTTGTGAGTTGCCAAGTGTTGGAGGTATCAGCTGTAGAGATGTCTGCCTTCTTTTGAATATAATGGAGCTAGATGGCCCTGAAAAAATACACTTAAAAAACTCAACAGCAATGTCTCTTTCCAGAAATCATGACCCAGTTACTCAAGATAATCCACAGACCTTGTTGTGAGCAGTTTCATGTAGGAACTGTTTTCTGTCTAGTGAACTACATCCACCAACTGCATCACCATGTAGAAGGAAGTGTGCATCCACTGCTAGCTCACCTAGCTGCACTGAGCAAGCTAACATTACAGCTCAGCTAAGGAAGACACCATTAATGTTTACATGTCACATTGTCACAAGCAGGAGCCTCTTGTCAACTCACACCAAAACAATCTAGACTGATAAACAGCGCTACAGGTAAAAGGAAAAATATGTATATCTGATTTTGGAGTGAACTGTCCCTTTAAGCTTTTTTCCTTGGCAGTACAAAATTTTAATGAGTGTTGGTGTACCTGTAGCTGGCCTGCTGCTCGGTGAGACAGTTCTCCTGGTTTATGGCAGTGTCCCGTCCAGTAAAGGACAGTTGCTCTGTCACACCAGCTGGCACTCTGCTGGTATCCAGCGCCGACCCTGGAGTTAAGCTCCACTTTCCTCCAGACTCCACCGTGCAGACCCGCGTCATAACCTTACAGGTAACACTACATCATATGGATATGAGTGTGTCATTGTGATATCTGTGATTTGCAAGACTTTAGTTTGTCTCTCCTTCTGTAGGTGCTGCAGGTGTCTGTGTCAGAGGTCCAGACGCTGTGTGGTGATCCTCAGGCCACAGTTAGCCCTCTCCTCTGCCTCTCTCAGACTCCCAGCATAGATTTCCTGCAGCGTGTCAAAGTTCAGATCCCTCTGCCATCTGGAGTCACAGGTACAGTATGTCCTTGCTCTCAGACATGTTTATAACAGAATGTATAAGCATATATTAACATATCTGGCGCTGCTGCAGGCCATACAGTCGATATGTCCTGTTTGTATCTGCTACACGGAGACCCCACTGCCCAAACCTGGACTGACATTACATCGCAAGTGTCTCTCTACGTCACCCATTTGTATGCCATTTTCTACATCACACATTTCTCCTGGTAGGTATCTGTCATATGTTCTCATAATGTTTGTTTGATTAATAAATTTACATGGCACTAACACAGCTTTGTGTGCACCATCACAGGTACTGGCTGTGGTACACGACTCAGCGCTGTGTCAGTGGGGTGGTCAGGAAGGTTTATCAAAAGCTTAAACAGTTTAGAGTTCAGTTTCTCGTCCTCCAGAGGAAGACTGATCCTTCACAAGTTATGCTGCAGTGTTTACCTGCTAACAAGGTGTGTAATTCTGCTCTCTATGCTCTGAATGTGTAGTTAAAGAGATCTACTTAGACCAAAGACAGTCTGTATATCTGCTTTTTCTCTCAGCTTTGGCACTAATTTCATAATCAGTGTGAATTAAATCGTAACAGTTACGCATAAATGCTAAACGGTGATTGTGATGCTTCCTACCCAGGTGGACAGCAGAGTGCAGTCTTTGTCAGAGCAATATGATGGACCTCAGCCTTCAGACCTGTGTGAAATGCTGGAAGGAGAGCAGTTCTTCGCCGGCTTTGAGAGAGGCTTGGATATCAGCACAGGTCTGAAGTCCTCTTTGAAGCTGTATCTTAAATAAACACTTTGTCTCTTGCTTCCTTTCCTTCTGAGGTCTAATGATGTGCTGCTGTTAATGATTGTCCTGAAACTGCCATTTGTAAGAAGTGTCCTTGAGACATTTTATGCTTTCCTGTTTTCTCCAGAGAGACCAGACTGTGTGGCGGGAAGACTGTGTTTTGAGTTTTACTCCAGCCTGAAGAATCTGAAAGAAGTCTACATCTGTCCAGCTCAGGGTCAGAAGGTGCCAGTAAGGGGACAAGTAAGACAGACAAGATGGTGCAGTGACTGGAATAATGATTGCTGCTGATTTGTCTGTGCACAAAGTCACTTTATGAATCTTAAATTTCCACATTACATGGTGGTACACCTGGTGCAAAGACTGCATGATCTCATTTACATTATAGCAAACAATAAGTAACAAATTGTTCAAATCACTCATCTGCACATTGCACAATATATTCTACACTAAAGCCCCATCCGAATATGGCTTACATTACAGGGGGAGGTGACATTTTAATCACTGGGAAATTGCAGGCCATTCATTCTTGGAGTCATAACTTTGTCAAATCTTGACATACTGATATTATTTAGAGTGACTTACACCTTCCAAGGATATCATGATCTCCATTGCAAATACAGTAAATGGCCATAAATCAGCTTAAAGATCCTTCAGAGCTTGCCTAGGAATCCTAAATTTTTAAGTTTTCTTCAGTATCAAAGTATTCCACTGGTAGTTGTCTGTACATCTGTGGGTACATTATAAACAGGACCAGCTAATAGCTAATTTACCATACTTATAATGGTGCCAGTTTACCAAAATGTGGAGAAATACAGGCAAAAAAGAGGATACCAGTGTCAGCTTGTAGCTGCAGTGACAACAGCCCATTTAATAATTTAAATGTTTCTGTTATCATAGTGGTACCCAGTAAGGCCTATATGACGATGTCAGCATCATCAGATTACCAAACCCAGTTACCGATTCACATTTTCATATAAAAGTCTAAGCAATTAGAGCCCGATCCAATCTCAGAGATCAGTATCAGGGCCGATCAAGGCATTTTTTAAATGACAGGGATTTGCTATAGTGAATTATATAGAGGATCCAATCCTTTGTTTTACGTCAGCTGTCACATTGGTGTTTAAACTCACAAAGCTTTCATGCAGAGACAAAAGGGGAACAGCCGTCTTAAACTCTCTGTTCTCCTTTTGTCCTCCAATCCCTTGAGCTCCTGTGTGTGTGTGTGTGTGTGTGTGTGTGTGTGTGTGTGTGTGTGTGTGTGTAAAAGCCACCCACAGCAAAACAACATGCCATAACTGACAGTAAAATGCAGTATGAGAATGTTTATATATGTTGTTTTTTTTACCAAAATTATGAGCCCTCGTTTCATTACAGCTCAGTGTGAGAATATCTTGCGTTTATGGCACACAGTGTTTCACAGCAGGCGGAGGACAGATAGGCAGCAGTGCAGAACCGAAGACAATCACACTCACCACAGCTACTGCAAAGTGCAACAAAAGCTACGGGAGCTTAAAGTCAATAAGAGTAATGCATTTATGTAGCATCATCCACGCAAAAAAAAGTCAGACGACGGTTCATTCAGGTAACTTGTACAAAAGCTGCACTAAGGCAACACACGCTGAAGAATAGTCTCTTAAAGGGACAGAGAAATTCCCTTGAGAGTGCAACAAGGCCAAAACAATAAAGAGAGGGTTTGTTATTTTATACCTATTTACTTATTTTGTTATAAATAAACAATAAGGAACAGGTTGGATGCAGGGATTTTTTTCCTAATGCATTGCAGAGCTATTCAGTTGTCTAGCATATACATTTGATTTGAATAATTAAATAACTTAAGTGTGCAATGTCCAGCTATATTATCTAGGAAGGTATCAGATCGGGACTCCATATTGGCAGTTATTCAGTATTAAATGACTTGGATCGAGATGGGGTGCAAGAAACTTGTTTGGGACGCCCCTAGATAAAAGGAAAAAAAGAGAAGTACCAGCAGCTCATCCTACTGTAAAAAATCAGAGGTTGACTCAAAAGACAAGGATGTCACCCCCTACGGGATTTAAATTACAGAAAGACCAGCGACATGGCAGAAAAAAAAGGATGGAATTGTGCCTTGTAATTATTACAGGGGTGGAGGGGAATTATTACCCACGAATGTGCTCGTGATGGGATCGAAATCACTGATTAGAATAATAATGTGATGTTAAAAACACCTCTCTCCTTAGAGAAATAAATCTCATCTGAATGAGCCTTTAAATGAGCCTTTAAATGACACTGTTATATGATCTAAGCCAATCCTATAATACATGCTACCTTTGTGAAACTGTCAGACGTATTGGTTTATATTATATAGAAAGGCGTTTCTAATATTTATGCTCATTCATATGCTATGTAGAAAAAAAAACAAAAGCTCTTAGCGTAAATCATCAAACCGAAAAGTACGACCTCCAAATGTACAAAAGAATTTATTTAAAACACAAACAATTTAAGTATTGGTCTCTAAGAAAACCAATATAATATTAACATGTTATGTAAAGTTATTATTTGGTAGTATTTATTGTGCTGCATTGTATGGATGTTTCTGTCTTCATGGTTACTCAATGTAAATTGTACCAGGTTACCACAGTCACCTGGCTCAGTGCCGGTTAGAAATGCAATTGTTATTTTGTCCCATCAATCAGTCTATATGGACAACACATTGAAAATATGTTTGTGTGTGTGTGTTTATTTTTATTTTTTTAATCCCTGAATCTTCTACAGGTATCTTTTTATAGAGGGGAGATTCCCAGCGATCTGCCAGAGGAAGTGGCGAGGAAGAGGAAAGGACTTGACAGCCAGTGGCTTGCAACTTTACCACTTAGACTTCCTGTCAGTTGATGCCATATTTTTTTTTATTTTTTTTTCATATAATAATGTAGTTATATCCATGTGAATATCCATTTATAGACATATTTTTTATGTTATATTATGTTAAATTGCTATATTGTTATGTAGAGTCTAAACTAGATGCTTATTTCTGTCAACTAAAGCAACAAAATAATGTCAGCTGCTACCTACAATATATTTTTAAAAGCTGAGGGAAGCACTGCACATATTTATTCCCTTTCTGGTTTTATCACAGGCTCTAAACTCAGACAATAACTACGTCATGGAGGAGATCCAGTATCCTCCTCTGAACCTGGGTGACCCTGAGAGCGGCTACCTGACAGAGGCCAACCTGCTGTCCATTTCTCTTCAGATCGGACAGGACTGGCGTGTTATTGGAATCAATCTTGGCTTAAGCTACCAGGAGCTGGACCGTATCCAGTTCAAGTACAGGTAGGAATGATGAACCGTGTCGTCTTCATAACTGAACTCAATATTTTCTGATTTGGTGATTGTTTTTACAAGCTAGAATATACTTATGTGGTTTTTAATATTTAACTTTAGTACACTACAGGTAAAATGGATTTTTGATTTTGAGTTGACCTCTCCCTTTTAGAGGTTAGTTTCACATTTATATAAAAGCAGCACTCAATTGTAATTGGAAAACAAGAATATTATTATGCCAGCCTAACCTGTTTAATCTAGATTGTTGTTAAAGATAAAAAAGGATGTGTAAACCTGACAGTGAGATTTAGCTAAAAATGTACATTTCCTGTTTAAAGCACCTCTCTCTACATGAGGGAATGACGTAACCAGTGCGTGCACACACATCTGTGTTAGCACAGCCAAAGCCTCTAAGGGATCAAGATGGAGTGAGATGTAATGTGAGTGAAGGAAAACCACAGTGGGAGAGAAATGGTAGAGAATTTTGATTGTTTTAATCTGCACTGTCAGCCATCACTGAGCCATCTGGGACACTGCAGGAGATTACACACAGACTGATGCTCATCTGTCCCTCCCCCCTACTCCTCATGCTCAGCAAACCTCTTGTGACGCATCCTGGAGGTGGAAGAAAAACGCATTATGTTAAATCATGCATACTATTGCGTAAATCGTTTTCTGTGTCAGGTTGTTATATAGGAGTTCTTTCACATGTCATTTTAAAGGGGACCCATTATGCTCATTTTCAGGTTCATACTTGTATCTTGGGTTTCTATTGGATCATGTGTACACGGTTTAATGTTCTGTAACAGCTTAGGGGCAGTAAAGTTTACTTTAAACTGACTCCACCAACGGACATAAAACAGCACATGGATAAGTTAACCCTCAGGGCTTTCTGACAGAAGACCTTTCTGGAAGAAAACCTTTCATCTTAACCCAAACCATCATCATCAGGGTGCCAAACCATCATATTCAAGGTTATCTTGCTTAAAGCCCTGAAAGCAAACTTCTCCAAACTGCCATAAAACAACAAGATCATTTAACACAAGTATCAAATTTGGCTCAATAATAATTGTCAAGATTTAGAGACAAAACAACTGTTTTTTGCCAGCTTCTCATCATTAGCCTAAGCATGTTTACGTTGCATAAATTAGCCTAGTGGCTAGCAGACTTTCTCCCTCTACTCATGGTTTAACAAATTACATGTAATGGTATTATATTTATTACTCACCACTGATTTTAAGTCACTGCATATCCCGCCAGTACAGCTCAGTTGAATTTCAGCCTGGCTGCTCTGCCTACCACCAGTTTGACAAGTGATACAGACTTTCAAAATAAAAGCATATGGATATCGATATGAATCGATGTTTTCATTTTGCATCAATGACATCGGATCGTTGATCGCTAAATCGATACACTGATCCAGATCGATGAATTGTTACACCCCTAGTAGCTACATGTAGCAGTGCACTTGCAGCAGGGGAATGACTGTGTAGCCGCACATTCTCCCATTAGAAATCACCAATAAAAGCTTATAAACACAACTGGAGATGTTCCAGCAGGAATATGATCCGAAATCAGGGAGAAATTAATAGCAACGGCAGCCAAGACCACATATTTCCCTGACATTAGCATGTAGTTTCATTAAACAGTGTAGGCTATGTAATGTAAACACTTGCAGTAGCGTGCCTGGAGCAGATGACTATATAAAGAATCTGTCATGAGTTGACCTTGTTGCCAAAGTAAAAAAACAAACATTGGAAATATAATCAGAACGATCTGAAGCTTGAGATCTTTGCTCACAAGGGTAACTTTTACATACCTTTATATCTCATTATTTGAAATAAATTAAATGTAGTTGCCCCCTTTAATGATATGTGTATTTGATGGTTGATTTTTGTTCTTTGGAAACAGGAGATGCATATCCAGAATCTTATAATTTATACATGGTTTATCTTCCAACTGCATTGAGATCCTAATACCACGTATTAATAGAGGTTTAGTACATTTCATAGGTTAAGGTACAGTATCTAGCAAATTATTTTATCCTATGGTGGTACTAAAACATACAGCACTGCTCATGGCTATAGCTATACAGTACAGGCCAAAAGTTTGGACACACCTTCTCATTCAATGCGTTTTCTTTATTTTCATGACTATTCACATTGTAGATTCTCACTGAAGGCATCAAAACTATGAATGAACACATGTGGAGTTAAGTACTTAACAAAAAAAGGTGAAATAACTGAAAACATGTTTTATATTCTAGTTTCTTCAAAATAGCCACCCTTTGCTCTGATTACTGCTTTGCACACTCTTGGCATTCTCTCCATGAGCTTCAAGAGGTAGTCACCTGAAATGGTTTCCACTTCACAGGTGTGCCTTATCAGGGTTAATTAGTGGAATTTCTTGCTTTATCAATGGGGTTGGGACCATCAGTTGTGTTGTGGAGAAGTCAGGTTAATACACAGCCGACAGCCCTATTGGACAACTGTTAAAATTCATATTATGGCAAGAACCAATCAGAAATGAAGGTCAGTCAGTCCGGAAAATTGCAAAAACTTTAAATGTGTCCCCAAGTGGAATCGCAAAAACCATCAAGCGCTACAAGGAAACTGGCACACATGAGGACCGACCCAGGAAAGGAAGACCAAGAGTCACCTCTGCTTCTGAGGATAAGTTCATCCGAGTCACCAGCCTCAGAAATGGCAAGTTAACAGCAGCTCAGATCAGAGACCAGATGAATGCCACACAGAGTTCTAGCAGCAGACCCATCTCTAGAACAACTGTTAAGAGGAGACTGTGCCAATCAGGCCTTCATGGTCAAATAGCTGCTAGGAAACCACTGCTAAGGAGAGGCAACAAGCAGAAGAGATTTGTTTGGGCCAAGAAACACAAGGAATGGACATTAGACCAGTGGAAATCTGTGCTTTGGTCTGATGAGTCCAAATTTGAGATCTTTGGTTCCAACCACCGTGTCTTTGTGAGACGCAGAAAAGGTGAACGGATGGATTCCACATGCCTGGTTCCCACTGTGAAGCATGGAGGAGGAGGTGTGATGGTGTGGGGGTGTTTTGCTGGTGACACTGTTGGGGATTTATTCAAAATTGAAGGCACACTGAACCAGCATGGCTACCACAGCATCCTGCAGCGACATGCCATCCCATCCAGTTTGCGTTTAGTTGGACGATCATTTATTTTTCAACAGGACAATGACCCCAAACACACCTCCAGGCTGTGTAAGGGCTATTTGACCAAGAAGGAGAGTGATGGAGTGCTGCGGCAGATGACCTGGCCTCCACAGTCACCGGACCTGAACCCAATCGAGATGGTTTGGGGTGAGCTGGACCGCAGAGTGAAGGCAAAGGGGCCAACAAGTGCTAAACACCTCTGGGAACTCCTTCAAGACTGTTGGAAAACCATTTCAGGTGACTACCTCTTGAAGCTCATGGAGAGAATGCCAAGAGTGTGCAAAGCAGTAATCAGAGCAAAGGGTGGCTATTTTGAAGAAACTAGAATATAAAACATGTTTTCAGTTATTTCACCTTTTTTTGTTAAGTACATAACTCCACATGTGTTCATTCATAGTTTTGATGCCTTCAGTGAGAATCTACAATGTAAATAGTCATGAAAATAAAGAAAACACATTGAATGAGAAGGTGTGTCCAAACTTTTGGCCTGTACTGTATATATATATACATCTGTTATCTTTTAAACCTTTGGTAAGTTACAGTAGCCGATGTAAATCTTCTTGTATATGTTCTGCTCTCCTCGCCAGGGACAATCTGGGAGCCTTGGTGCTAGACATGCTGTTCCACTGGGCCCGAGGACAGAAGAACGCAGGACCAGGAGCGGCGTCACGACTGGTGGCAGCTATGATCGAGAGCGGCAGGAGAGACCTGGCAGAGGAGATTGAGGACATCGTCAGTATAGGAAGGAGAAAGTACTCAGAGTCATTGAGGAGGGTGGGCCTGGAAGCAGAGAGCTCCTCTCTCTGTGACGCACAGCAGTAGATAAACCCATGCTGGGTGCAGATGGCTGACTTACACTTGAGTAACCTGTTTGTTTACAGTGTGCCCCCATCATCTCATCCTGCTGTCTAAACAAGTGTCCTGGAGTACAAAAAATCTATCTTAACACAATCATGATAGCCAGCTGGCAGCACCTTTAAGATGACCTACAGGAGACAGGTGAAATGGATGGGCTGCATAAAGATGATGGCCTCGGGCTTGTTTTTTGCCACTTCTACTTTTTAAAAACTGTTTCAGTATACAAGACAATCCTGTGGAAGCCAGGAAGAGATAAAAATGTATTAAGCTATACAGGATGAAAATAAAACTACTCATGTTAGTCAAAATGATGAGATACAAGGTCATAATTTTTTACATAATATCTATTTTTTTTACTTAGTATGTCAGAAATTGACTTTATACCTCAGTATTGTGAATTACAGCAGCATCATCAGTTGAATCAATTCGTTTGACAGTTACTCAAAGGTAGTATGTATTACACAATTGGCTTGGATCATACTACATGTACAGGGGTTTCCACTGTCTGGTCACTGAAAGGCCCAGTCTGGATTTCTTTAGGTGAGATGAGATGATTTTAACAATAACCCCTTTTAAGAAATTTTAAAAAGAAATTTAAGAAAGCCCCTTTCTCACTGTACAGAAAAAAAACACACACCAGCTCTCAGTTTTGTATCGAACAGGTTACAATCGGCATTCATTTCTGGAACAAATGACTGCAATAGTCATAGTATTGAATATTTATTGGTGCGATCAGATCTCATCGGCAGTGATCAAAAAACACAACACTCGAAGAAGCGCTAATTTTTGCCCCTTTTCCAGCCTGACTAATGACTTACCGCCACAAAATGTCTCTGCCTAAGCAGCACCTGAACATCTTCTAAAATGAGTTGACACCAAGTTTGAAAGAGAAACTGAGTTTGTATCAAACATAGGTGTAGATTTTGAGGGGGAAACAGGGTACATGTCCCCCTCAGTATTTTTCTGATGAAAACATCAAGTAGCAGAGGACTTTTATTTTGACAAAGACATTTACGCCATAAATTGATGCAGAAAAGGCACAAATTGGTGCATAAAATTCACCAGAATGTAGGTAATTAAGTGTTTGATGCTCTAAATTTTCTGGTAGAGGACCCCAAAACCCCTTTTTCATATGTGTCCCCCCAAATGTTGACACCTAGGCCCTTGGAAACAGACATAAGAAAGAAGTAACTATTGTTAACATTTTCACTGGGCTCCATACTGCATTCTACTGTTTACTCACTGTGTTATCCAGTGTGTTCGTGACACCAAATGTGACACACCAAAAAAACAAAAATAGAAAGACATTCTGGTCTAATTCAGAGCCCAGTATACAGTGGTTTAGTGAATGGTATACAGAGGTATCCAGGGTATACCCACCTCTTTTTCTGTCTGTTTACAGTATACCCACCTTCATTCATTTATTTATTCATTTTCTGTAACTGCTTACCCTGTTGGGGGTCGCGCCTATCCCAGCAGACATTGGGTGAGAGGTGGGGCACACCCTTGACAGCTCACCAGACCATCGCAGGCAAACAACCGTTCACACTCACATTCACACATACGGCCAATTTAGAGTCAACAAATTAACCTAACCTGCACGTCTTTAGACTGGGAGGAAGCCGGAGTACCTGAAGAAAACCCATCCCACATGCAAACTCCGCACAGAAGGTTTGAACCCACCACCCTGGGTTCGAATTGGGAACCCTCTTGCTGTAAGGCCACAATGCTAACCACTAGTAATAACAGCCAGTATACCCACCTATCAGCCAAAAAACCATTGGATTATACAGTAGAGTATACCCACTTTGTCCTTGGTCACCTGCCCATCTACCACCTCATCAACTACCACTACACCACTACCTGTACAGAAGTTGACTACCTATTTTTTAGCAGGTTTCCTTGAAATTAAAAAACCTGCATATACGTGTTGACTGTTATTTTGACTCAGTATCTCAATATTTTGACTTACCATGAGTATTTTTATTCTGGTTTGTTTTTTTTTTTTTTTTTTTTCATTTCATGGCAGAAAGGTCAGTATTACCTGTTCAGGGCAGAGTTAAGAGGCAAAGCAAACACTGGGAGCTGCTGGACTAGACTACTTACTGAAAGTGCAAGAGGAGCCATTTTTCTGGTTGATTAAATTTCTTCCTTGTGTGCCTTTGGTCACCTAGAAACCAGCCTAACTGCAGCATATATCAGTGACATATCAGGACATTAGATCTTTTTTAAATGTATGTGTACATTTCCACTGTTTTCATCTCTAGTAAAACTGTTATGTAAAGAAATGTGTCAGCTGCATAATCCTCATGCAGAGAGCCCTGCAGTGAGTCATTGCTTGTTGTAGACCCTTCCATAGCTGCATGCTGCACATCATCCCCAATATTTCAGCTGTAGCCATTTTTCTATTTTAGTGCTCAAGGTCATGGGGTTGAGATGAATCGTCACGATGACGCTGGCCCCCCATCCCCCACCCTCTACACCTTTACTGCAAATAAAAAATAAATGTCTGTACTTCTACTACATACCACTAGAGGACCCCTTTTTAAATCCCTTTTCTATTTTTTTCCATCCTACTCCAATGCATCGCCTCCCTCCTCCCTCCCTCCCTGCTCTCATTCCCACCTCCTCTACCTCCCTCCTCTGGACTCAAATGCTAGTAACACCGGTAGGTTAGCTATTGTCGGTCTGTCAGCCAAAGATACAGACAGTAAAGGCTTTGATTTCACAGCACAGCTACACCGGGAGAGATAACGGAAACGGCTCTATGTGGTATGTAGATAACGGGATGCGGAGAAAGTCTTATTGTGAATCGTGGCGGGTGTCTTGTTCATGAAATGTGTCTTGAATTGGCTTGAAGCCGTTAAAATGTTACCTGGAAATAACGTGAAGGCGACATATTAAATGTCCAGTTGAAAAATGGAGATGGAAAGCTAGCTAGTTTTGGGATTTTGTGTGTTGCCGCTTCGTTGTGAGAGGCAGTAACGTTATATCATTTTCCGTTATGTGTGAGCCTAGCTTATTTCCTAACCGTTAACGTTCCATACGGTGGGTTTAAATAGGTAACGTTTACGGCGGGCCTATGAATCTGTTAAAATATAAGCTATAACGGTTGTTAATGTTATTGGTAGCGATTGAATAACGGCAATCGTTAATATGCCTTGTCATTTATTATCCATCAAACCGACGAGCCGTTGGTGACAGGTGTAACGGTTATTTATTATCACTGTCGGTTTGTATGTATATGTTAGCTTGCTTGGTTCTAGGATGTTACTGAATTTCCTCCAGACCTTTAAGGGGCCAGTGCGGCCGTCTCCAGCCGGCTTCCTGCTCCGTAGTGAGGGAGTAATTAACATGTGGGCTGGGATGTTGGTAGTGGAGGGTAAACCCACTTAAACCGTACCCACCTCCTTTTTCATTGGTAGAGCAGAGTGAAGCTGCTCACCTCTGGCAGGCAGGCAGGCAGGCTCTAGCTAAACATTAACACACTGTGACTTCTTGGGACAGGATGAAAGGAAGGTTGGATTTTTATCTAAATCATTTACCATTATCTATTGAGGGCCATTTCTATATCACCCACCTTGCTATTCTATTCACCCCCCTCCTCTCTGCTGAGGCCTCCAGCTCCTCACATGAGGGGACATTTAACTTCTGAGTAAGATGTCAAGAAGTAAGGCATGCTTCTTCCCAGTGTGTTGAGGTTATGATGAGGCCAAGTAGTGTAATAAAGCACTCCTGCAGCCTTGAAATAATTGATAAGGTGAGCCATTCTTGGGTGTAGGGTGACATCCTGTGTTTTCCAATGGAACTGTTGTACCTATATTGGCCAGTAGACACAAGGGTGTTGGTTATGTTTCAACATTTAGGGGATGCATATGCAATGAGGGGTTTGGGGTTCTCTTTCGGAACATTTGAGCGTCAAACACTTAATAATTCTATGCATCAATTTTTGCCTTTTCTGCATTAATTTATAGAGGAAACATTTAATTTTGTCACAATGAAAGTACTCTGCTACTTTAATGTTTTTATAGGTGTGGGGTGGGAGGCAGATGCACAAGTTCTTGTCTGTGAAAATACGAACTTTGCTACCTTGAAGTCATCCATTGGTTTGTGGACTTCACATTCTGTACCTCCGAGTTTGGCATTTTGCCCGTTGCCCTCTTGGTTGTTTGGAGCATGTTCTTGTCTGTGAAATTGATGGACATAGCTATTCTTACGTCACCCATTTGTTAGTGGACATTCTGAAGCCACAAGCTTGGCATTTTGGCCATTGCCCTCTCGGGTTTTTGGAGCATATTCATGTCTGTCAAAATGATGGACTTAGCTACTCTGATGTCACCCATTGGTTGGTAGACTTCACATTTTGAAGCCTTGAGGTTGGCATTTTCGCCATCACCCTCTTGGTTGTTTGGAGCATGTTCTTGTCTGTGAAAATGATGGACGTAGCTATTCTGACGTCACCCATTTGTTTGTGGACTTCACATTCTGAAGTCATGAGTTTGGCATTTTGGCCGTTGGCCTCTGGGTTTATTGGAGCATGTTCCTGTCTGAAAATATTGGACTTAGCCACCATGACTTCATCCATTGGTTTGTGGACTTGACATTGGCATTTTGCCATTGCCCTCTTGGGTTTTTTGGAGCCAGAGATGACAATATTTTGGCGAGAGGAGGATCAAGGGGTGGATCTGATTGAGAAGCCAAAGACGCTATTGGTAGACGGCCTGTTGTTGAAAGCAGCCCGCCCTTATTTATGCATAACTTGACCATAAGTGCTATATCGTAGGCAACTGGACTTGCTTGTTTTTCTTGAAAGTCCAGTAGTCCAGTTGCCTATGATATAGCACTTAAGATTACCATGACCTGGATGACAGAGAATCTTCACCGACATTTAAACCTTGATTAAATGTAAACAGATGAGTTATATAAAAATTAACCCCCATACAGTTGTCATGAAGAGGGAAATCAGCTATAAAGACTAAAACTGTTTTTGTGCCAGGCAGTAAATTTTTATTTCTGCTATAAAGCTGGGACTTGTGACATGGGTGTCCTTGGAGACTGACTGGCTTCTGGAGCCAGACTCAAGTGGCCTTTCAAAGAACTGCAGTTTTTTGCACTTTTGTCTTGGCTTCATTTTTCAGCTCTGGAGGTAGCCGTTTTGTCTCCCCCAAAATCTATGCCTGTGAGGCGACAACAACATTGTGTATGATATTCATTTGATCTGCATGCAGGAAAGTATTCCAAAATCCTAGAGGCAAGGACTGTTAAATGTCACTGGTTTATGTGCACTGAATGAAAGTGACGTATAGGCAGTGCTGTGGGAAGATGCTTTACCCCTGTGTGAAAGCTACAGTCCTTCATTCAAGGCCTTACTGTAATCTGCCAGCTGTAATCAGATGCTTCAATGGTGCATTTAGCTTTCTTTTAAAGGAAAGTCCATTCACAGTGGTATCATTATTTTCCTATCAAGGCTGGGGGAAAGCCGAGAGGGAGGCAAAACAGAGGAGATGCCCCAGGTGACTTTAGAAACTGGGCCACCAGAGATACCTGTGGTGCCAGAGGAGGGACTGAACACTACACCACCTCTCCGCACTGAAGGGGCATTTGTGCTTCCTGAAAGTGAAACCTGACTTGTTATTTCTGATCTGCAGCAGGTGATAACAGCAATGTGCATCAGTGCAGGTTTAATGGATGCAATGTGTAGAGCACATGTAGTGGCAATGCATCGCTGTGTGCCCAGATCATAACTCTCACTCCACTGGTTGTAAATGGAGATTGCGAGAGAGCTTTCAGAAATAGGAATTAGGTTTATAATCCTGATGCTGTGCGGAAGAGGGAATAGTAATCAGATTTATCTGTGACACCACAAATTTCATCCCTTGTTTCCGCAGTGCTGTAGATGTCCAAAAATAGATGGCATCTCATAAACAGTTATTTTAAAAAAGCACGATAACAGCAGCACAGCAGCTGTCAGGTCTATGGAGAAGAACAGTAGACATACAGCTGTCAGTGCAGAGAACTATTTAATATGCATTCCCACCCTCCAGGAGAATTTAACAATGCAATATATTCACAAGGACAATATTAAGCTGGATGTTAGCCATATAATATTAGCTCATAAGCTCAAATTCATACTTATAAAGAATGTAATGTCTGTAAATGGAATGTAAAGTGGACAGATTGAGTTGTGTATTCGACTTGGCCTTTGTACTCCTGCAGCTCAGAGAAGCACTTGACATCTGATAGAGGATTGCAGGAACACACTTGTGTCTGAAACAGATCCTCAGTGCAGCCTCTCTGGCGATGGCTTAGAGCTCGCAGCGCCTTAATCAAACCAGTACATGTGAGGCAGATGGGCTGGTAACAACAGCCTGCTCTCAGCTGACGAGGAAGGGTATGTGTGATTTTTCCTTTCTTTTGCTGTCTTTTCAACACGCCACAGTCACGTGAGCAAAGTGCTGACTACCACAGTGCACTGCAGGCCAGCCACTCAACTTCCTCCTATCTTTCAACAAACTAATTGTCATGTAGTCAGCAGGACCTTTACTCTGTTTGGCACTCGAGAGCACAGAGAGGTAGCCAAAGAGCTGTGATGGATGAGGTAACTATTTCTCTGGTTGATTTGAATGAGAGGAGTAAATTTGCATTGAGTTTTGCATTGGAAATTAACTGGAATGGATTTGTCTCCAGACTTTTAGTATCTGCACGATTATATTTATCTTTTTGTAAGTCTTCTGTGATTGCGGCATGCCTTGGAGCAGATCAGTTGAAGCAGCTAGCTACATGTAAGCTTTGCACCCACCTCATTTTTTATTTATACCTGCACCAATCCAGTATTGTCAGCTATTTAATGCACCTCTAATGTACATACTGTTTGCATTTTTAGAAAGAAAATCTTCTTATCTCCATTTATAAACACAGTAGATACATGCCTCTGTCACTGCTTTTTTTAACTATGCTTATAATAGTTGAAAAGGTCAACATGAATAAATAATAAGACGTGGAAAAGCTATTACCCCAGTATCAATCTGAAATCGTAATTGTGCAGAAATGCACAGTGCTTCTTGTTAAGTTGTAATGAAAATAATTCCAGAAAGATTTAAGAGCATGTGTTATGAATATTTTATTTATCATATTTGTCTATATATTTATATAAAATCTTAATTACATAATAATCAGCTGACTTTTCAGGCAAGTCAAAAGACTGTAAAAATCAAGTATACCATTTATGACCCTTGTCCCTGTGTTTAATATAGGGCTGTAACTAATGATTATTTTTATTGTTGATTAATCTGTTGATTTTTTTCAAATAATTGATTTGTTGTTTTGTCAATAAAATGTCAGAAAATTATGAAAAATGTCGATCAGTGTTTTCTCAAAGCCCGGGCTGACGTCCTCAAATGTCAAATGTTATCCACAGCTCAAAGATATTCAGTTTACCATCATAAAAGAGTAAAGAAACCAGAAAATATTCACATTTAAGACGCTGTAATCAGAAAAATGTAACTTTTTTTCTTTAAAAAATTACTCTAGCTTAGAATCAGCTGTCACAGTAGTTGACAACGAATCAAATAATTTGTGGGATTACACAAACTAGACATTATTCACAAGCATTTAACTTTATACAAGCACTGGTCTGTGAACTTGTGATGAGGAAAAATTAAATGCCTGCACACTTACTCCATGCCACACAAGTTTAAAGAAGATCCTACTTGGATCTTCATCATGGCAAAATGTTTGAAAGGTTGAAACCACACCTCTATTTTTACATAATA